TGTCTCCCTAAAATCCAGAATTCTCTCCTCCGCAGATACCTCCCACAACTAATTCCTTTTCTTATGACCCAACCCCACAGGTCACTCCGTATCTCACTTGCAGGAGGCTGAAGAAGCCGTCCGGAATGGAGCCCGTTTTATCACCCACCTCTTCAATGCCATGCTGCCTGTGAGTGACTTTCTGCTACCTGTTTAGGCATTCTTGTCTCAATCCTTTCAGGAGCAGTCCTCCTCTCTTTCACTATCCCTATGATTGTTTTCCTCCAGTGTGGCATGACTGGTCTGGCCTGGCCTTGCCTCAGTGAGCCCCATTCCAGCTCCTGCACAAATCTTGGTGTTGTGGTGGAGGACATGCTCCATGCTTGAGGGAAGAGAGTAGTAACATGGTTAGAGGGAGAGAAGTACTAAGAAGAACATGGGAGGGTTTCTAGAGATATCAGCCTGAGAGAGGTGATGTTGGTAATATGGAGTGCTTACGGGCCAGCTCCTCCATCAGTCTGCCTTTTCCTTTTGCCCCCATTGACCTTCCAGTTTCATCATCGTGATCCTGGCATTGTGGGTCTTCTGACTAGTGACCAGATCGCACCAGAGCAGCAAGTTTTCTTTGGAATGATTGCAGATGGTATCCATACACACCCTGCCGCCCTAAGGATTGCACACCGTGCCCATCCCAAAGGTGGGAACGAGGAGAAGGATAGAACCACAGGATTGTAGAGCAAAGTTGGGGGGCCCAGTGTGTGACTAGACTGACAGTGGAGGGAGGGAACAAAGGGTTGGGAATGAATAAAGGACAGAAGCTGTGATCTTCCCCTTCCTAGGGCTTGTGCTGGTCACCGATGCCCTTCCTGCCCTGGGCTTGGGCAATGGTCGCCACACATTGGGTCAGCAAGAAATCGAGGTAGATGGGCTGAGGTGCTTTGTGGCAGGTAAGGGGGTAGAGATTTATGTTCTGATGGCTAAAAGGAAGGGATGCTGCATTCTAATCAAGTTCCCTCCCTGCCCTCGAAAAATGAAACAAAGCCCCAACAGATCTAACAGCACCAAAACACTCCATTCTGGGCAGTGTCCCTGTTGCATCTACCACTGAAATCCAGCCCCTTCTTTAGCATCCTTCAACTACCTCCACCCATGTCTATCCTTCAGCCTCTTGTGTCTAGCTTCTTGTCTCTTTTTCCATAGGTACCAACACACTTTGTGGCAGTGTGGCCTCATTGGATACTTGTGTCCGACACTTCCTCCAAGCCACAGGTCCTCAGAATGGGGAAGGGGATAGATGCTCTTTGAGACTGAGACCAAGAAGTCTACATGGGGGGGTGGGGGGGGGCGAGGTTGACTCTGCTTTTTTTTGCTTCCAGTGGTTCTCTTTTGAGTCCTTTTCTTCCTCCTCCAATCAGGGCATAGACCTTTTTGGTTGTAGTGCCATGGGGCCTTTGAGTCTATTGGCCTAGGCCTGGATATGCCCTGCTTGTTTGTTTGCCTCAGGAAATCACAGCTTCTGGGGCTACTTTGGTCCCTGAGGACCTTGGGTGAGATATTGTAGCCCTGCTGTTCAGGCAGATGTGCATTTCTAGTGTTTAATTTGAGAAGTAGGATGAGGCATATAGGTTTGCAATGTTAACAGAACATAACAAAACTTTTTTAGGCCAGGGCATAAAAAACACACTGCTCCACTGGGGGAGCTCCTTCCCAAGACACTCCTTTCTCCTTCTCTCCTGCTTATTGACTGCTTCCTGAGGCCAAATGTCCACTATCCTGGCCAAAGTGGAAGGCACATCACAAGAATATGTACTTCCAGAGGAAGGGCATTTGCTCATACTCATCACTTGCCCAACAGGCTGCAGTGTGGAGACGGCACTTGAGGCTGCAACCCTGCACCCAGCCCAGCTGCTAAGGATAGAAAAACAAAAGGGAACCTTGGACTTTGGCTCAGATGCAGGTATCTGGGGTTTGGTAATGTAGTGGATCGATCTCTGTGGGGTGAAAGGGTACAATCTTCAGGTCTGGAGATCTCAGACCATTTCCTGTAGCTCCTCTAATTTCAAGACTCAAATGATATCACCCCTTCCTATCTGGCGTCAATGGCTGGGAACATCTTCCCTGTTCTTTTGAATGTAGGATACAATATCTGCTTACCAACTAAACTGTTTTTCAATTTAACCACCCCTGAAGCTAACACTGGCTAAAGCCAATTCAGAATTTTCTATGAAATTTTATTGCCAAATAGTGCTGAGGGATTAGGCTGGGTAACCAGATATTGAAAACCAAAAGCTACCATCACAGCTTATGTGTCTCCTTGAACAGAAAGAAGCCTTCAGCTCCAGAGAGTTCTCTGTGTTCTTTGGGCTGAGTTTTTCTTCTCCCTGACACTGTCCCTTCCTAAGTAATTTAGGGAATGTCTAGTTCAGTATCTCATTATACAGATGAGGAAATTTAGGCCCAGAGAGGAAAAATGATTGACCAGGTCACAGATATTCCAGATAACCTGCTCTCCCTCTCCTCTTTCATGGAGCTTCTGGGAGAATCATAAAGAGGAATAAGCTGGGAAAGGGGAGGAGCAAGAGCAGGAGTAGGCCACGTTTGAGGGAGAATGGTGAAGGTTTCCTCCTTTTATTGTACATAAAACCTCCCCTTATTGACTAAAAAATGGGGTAGAGTAGAAAACCTGGACCCTTCTGAAGCATTCCCCTTTCCCACTCTGGTCCTTGGTGTTAGGTATTCATCCTAACTATATGATAGTGTAAGTTCTACTTTTAATGTCTTGTGATATTGGATGACTATTTATACACATACTGTGTTATTTCATTAAATATTTCCCAATTAAATTTTTTAAAATTTTAAGTTATTTTTAAAAATTTAGAGTTCCAAATTCTCTCACTCCCTCATGCTTCTTCCCTACCCTTTACTCTTCTTTAAACCTCAGTTGCCTCATTCAGATAGGGATGATCTCTGTCCAGTTCTCAAGAAAGAATGATGATAAGTGAGACACTGGGTGAAGGTGCCACCAGTTGAAACTAAGAATGTCTAGCCTGAAGAAAAGGCATGGGGGCATAATAACTGGCTTAAATAAGTTATTGGGACTAGAGGTGTTGTGCATGGTTACAGTGGGGTTAAATTTGCAAAGGCAAATTTAGACCAGTTACAGGAAAAAATTCATTAACCCTGAGAGTGACCTGGAATTGAGAGAGGCTGCTGTGGGAATTAGTGGCTCCCCTCAAGGTCTTTCACCAAAGGCTGATGAGCACCTGCCAGGTATTTTGTAGAAGGGATTCTTTTTCAGGTATGAGTTGGACTGGAGGCCTCTGAAGTCCCTCCCAACTCTGAAACGCTGTGAAGATACCCTGGCCAGATGAAAACAGTGGGAGGGGCAGTGGTAATTGATCCTATGAGCTCCCTACATACTGGGAGGTTGATGCTCTACAAGGACATTTCCATCTGGTGTTTTGTCTGCAGACTTCATAGTCCTCGATGACTCCCTTAATGTCAAGGCCACATACATTGCAGGAGACCTGGTGTGGAAAGACGAAACTTTTAGTCACTGATGGGCTGGAGCCAGAAGACTTTGCTCAGCCCCCAGCTAGATGCTGCATCTACATCGAGGTTGGCTGCTTCCTTGGGGTCCTAAATATCTGAGGAGACAGAAGTTCCTGGCCCTTCTAGACCCTGCACTTGGAGGAATACTGAGCCCAAGTCTTGGACTGAGACATAAACTCCATGGGAGGGCCTCTTTTGTAGTCTCCTCCTACTCCCCAAAATAAAATGGATACTCCTTTTCCTGCTGCTACACTCCTGGCTCCATGATGAACCAGGAGGAGTATTGATGGGACCTTCAATGATCAAGCTCCATCCCTCTTTAATCAACAACACTGATGAACATGCACCTTTATAGTATTTTGTGTTCTTTTCTTATTTTGCTTGTTTTTAATTGGGTGTGGCTCATTCACTCAACCTGGCTGTAATTCTTTGCCCATGAGAAGGTCTACCGTCTTATTTGGGAATAATGATTAACAAAGATGAAGCAGTTAGGAAATAGGGCAAGTTAACATGTTAGGTTTTTGTGGTTCAGATAGTAAAAAGACTAATAAGTTTAAGTGAAAGAAGTGTGAGAAAGTGTGTGTCCTGGAAAAAGTGATACTTGACCTTGGGCCCTGAGGGATGGGTAGGAGTGAGGTAGGTGGAGAAGATATAAAAGTGCTAGGCAAGGTGGGGATAGTTAAGTATGAGCTTTTAAGCAGGAAAATGTGGGTTGTGCTTCAGAGTGAATTAAAGCAGTTTGTCCACAATATAGGGAAATAATAAAATCAGAGAGCTAAGTTAGGGAAAAAATCTTGCAAGACTTAAGAGGTTACATAAGTAGTCCAGAGATGCTAGTGAGAGAGGAGAGAAGACTGAAAGGGCCAAAGAGAAATCCTAAGGCAAAACTCTATTAAGGAGTTAGGAAGAGACCCAGCAGGATTTATAGTTACATTGGGGGGAAACGGGAGAAATGTCATCTGAATCCAAGAGAGTGAAGTATCCAGTAAGAGTATGGTTAACAGTGACAAGAACTCCAGAGAGTCAGTGAGCAAGGTCAAGTACTGTAAGAGAGCCTATAGATTTGGTGACTGGAAAAGAGTAGATTCAAAAACAAGCAAGACTTTGAGGAGGGAGAAAGAATGAGAACATGGAGTCGAGACAAACAGCAGGGAAAGAGGATAAGGAGAAATGGGCAGAAAGGGAAGAGTGTGTGGAGGGAGAATGAAAGAACTCGACTAGCTGGAAGTATGAGGGATCAGGGAACAAGGATGAATCAGAGGAAAATGAAGTTTCAAGCATGGATGCTAATTGAAATAAAGGAGGAACAGCTAATTTAGCAGTGAAGGAGAGGAGTTCAGTTCTGGATGTAGTGCTTGTGGGGCATTTATATAGACCGCCCATTGTCTAATGCCCAACTCCGAGGTCCGTGAAACGCAGGACTGGAACTAGAAAAGGCTGGGGCAGAGGGTATAAATACTAAGAGAAGGGGGCAGGGCCTTGGGGACCACCATTGGTCAGCGACAGCGCTTCTGCATAGGAGGAAGGTAGTCTAGACGGAGGCGGAGATCTGGGCTAGCGTCGCCCGTGCCGGAGGGACCTCGGGGCAGCTAAGGCCGCCTGCTCTACGTGCGGGCGCTTCGCCTTGCCCCGTGTGCGAAGACTGCTCTGCGCCGTCACTCCTCGGCCTCTTTCTCCCCGCGACCCCGCTGCCGGTAGAGGCGGACCGCCCCGCCAGGGCTGGCAGCGGAACTGGAGGGCTGAATCGTGTTTCCGGGCGGAAGGGAACCTGCGCAGGACCCCGGCCTGACCCGAGCTTGTTGGCGGGACCGTGCATGGAGGTGAGGGCCGGGCAGTGCAGCGCGGGGTTGGGCGCAAAGCTTCCGAGGCCTCAGTTCTCCCTCCGGTTCCTCCCTCTCCTTCAGGCGTTGCAGCCGATGGGCCAGAAGCGGCCGGAGCGGAAGCCGGAGCCTGTCGGCGGAGGCCGCGGGGCCAACAAGAAGGGCAAGAAGCAGCCGCCGCCTCCCCAGGCCGAGCCGAGCGCGCAGGGCCAGGGCCGGGGCGCCGAGGAGGTGGCCGGGGTGCCGGTGAGCAAGAGGCCAGGGAGTGGGCGGGGCGGCCGGCTCGGGACCCCCCCTTGGGCCTCAGTTTCCCACTCTGTTCCACTACAGGCTGGGGTAGATGTTCTCGAATTCCTTGTTCAGCTCTTGGATTGCGAGGGAGCCGAGGGACGGACGTGGGAAGGTTCCTGCCTGCCCGATCCGCTGCCTCTCAGCAGGCCTGCACCTGCTGGAATGGAAGCTCCTTGCGGACGGGAACTTTTTGTTCTTTGTATCCTCAGCACTTAGCGCAGTGTCCCGCATCTAGTAACGACTTGAATGCTTGTTGACTGAAGTCGGTGGGACGGCAGATAAGAACCCTCTCGTTTCCTGATATGCAGGAGCAGGATGAGCAGCTTCGGCTGCAGAGGGAGCTGGACTGGTGTGTGGAACAGCTGGAGCTGGGCCTGAGGACTCACAAATCCACCCCAAAGCAGGGTAGGCTCGAGGAGCAGGGCGAGGGTAAGGGAAGTGGGCTGGGCGTTAGGGCTGGCAAGATCGCTTGATCCCGTCTCTGCTCTTAGCCGAGCAGGCCGCCCGAGCTATAAAGACGCTTCGGAGTAATCGAGCCGAGCTGCCCAAGAAACGTCAAGTGATGAGGTCGCTGTTTGGGGACTACCGGGCCCGCATGGAGGAAGATCGCAAAGCGGCCCTGAAGGCCATGGAAGCTGGTGAGGTGGGAGAAGAGAAGGGTAGTCAGAGCTGTTTGGGCTATTCCGCAGTGCTTTACAGTTTTCTGTGTGCTATATAAGCGTTATTCCATCAAATCCTTGCAATGACCCAGTAAATTATGTCAGCAGCTATTATTTCTGCTGTATTGGTGAGGCCGCACAGATGATTAGTGGAAGAGCTAGGATTCAAACCTATCACAATAGCTTCTGGAAAGGGCCCTCATGGGAAGCCAAGTGGCTTGGATTTAAAAAACCTCAATTTAAGTCTCTGCTGCACATTTGCTAGCTACATGATCACGAATAAGCCATTGATACAGAGTTTAGCTTCTTAATGTCACAAATGAGGAGACAGACCTAGAGAGATAATGACTTGCCTATCATATTGTAAGTAACATAGGCCAAGTCTGAATGGATTTCATAGTATAGATTTAAAGCTGAAATTGACCTTAAAGGCTTCTAGTCTAACTCTTATCCTTTTATAGATGGGGAAGCTGAAGTTGAGAAAGGTAAAGTTATTTGCCCAAGTAACTAGTGCTGGCTACATCACTAGGATGGAGACAGAGACCTGGGGGAGGAGAAGGTAGAGGAGATGAGGAAGGAGCTGCAAATAATTTTTTTTTTCTTTCCATTGTGTACTTTGAGGCTTGGGACTTATAACACTAAGTTTGTTCTGCCTTTCCAGCTCCAGCCCCATGTTTGATCTTTCTTTTTTGCAGCAGGTCGATCAGCCCGGATGCTGCCTGTTGAAGAGGCTGTCCGAAGGAAGAGTAGCCGGGTCTGCAGGCATCGTTCGGGTAGAGGGATGAGTTCTGTGTCTTCTCCAGAGGAAGAATTTAGGTTTAACTTTTTTTAGTCCCTACCCACCAGGGATCTACCTAATTTCTGCCAGAAAAGCTACCACTACCACCCCCAACCCATTCTAGGGGCTGGAGAGGGAGCAGGTAATCAGGTTTGGGAAAGTCACTTGGTAGGCAGATATATGATCGAGATGGCTCAGATCTCCTGCTTTTCAGATATGTGGTCATTGTCACTGAAAGCCCCTGCTTGACATGTGGGGTCATCAGGCCCCCTGTGGGATAGATATATATTTACCATATCTTGAATTCCTTGAAGACAGGCAAGGTTAGTCTGTACTGTGCCTTGACTGGAGGGTGAAGTTGGAGGTAGCTGAAGCTGCTTGAAAAAGACTGATTTGTCTTTTACCTCTTAGCTACCTTGGTACCTCTATTTCTTAGTCTGAGAGATGTCTTCATTCAGTAAAATCCTCCCTCAGCTTTCTCATCTGAGTGTCTTTCTGGGACAGTAGGATGGGTCACAGTAGGATTACTGGATAGGTTTAGAAACTGGTCTGAGCAGGGACAGCATGGCCTGGGGCCCATCAGTCATGGTGTATCTCTAAAGGATTATACAGTCCTTACTTCTCAATTTAAATGCCCTCACACCCTCCCCCAAAGGAAAATCTCATGCTTTTCTCCTTGGGTGAGGGGTTGGAGCAGGGCTCATCCCATGGGAGTCTTGTGCTTATGGGTTTCCTCATTGAGCTGCTTTTTCCAAAGGACATAAAGGGTTAAAGCTGACACTCTTTGCTCCATTTGGGTCACTTAGTCTGCAGGCATTAATGAAACGTCTGCTATGTTCCTGGAGCTGTGCTAAGCTCTGGGAACTCACAGATAAGAATGAAATGGCTTCTGTCCTTAAGGAGCTTCATTCTTTTGGTGGAAGCATCGTGTCTGTATGTGAATACCTACAAAGTAAATATAAGGCAATTTAGGGAGGGGGCAAGGGCCCTAGCAACTAGCAGCATCTGTAAAGGCTTTGTGCAAGAAGCTGCATTTTTAACAAACCTTGAAAGGTGAGGGGTTCTAATTGTTGGATGTGAAAAGTGAGTGCAGGGGGGCAGCTAGGTGGCACAGTGGGTAGAGCACCGGCCCTGAAGTCAGGAGGACCTGAGTTCAAATCCAGCCTCAGATCAAACACTTGACACTTAATAGTTGTGTGATGCTGGGCAACTCACTTAACCCCAATTGCCTAAAAAGAAAAGTAAGTGCAGCCTGGCTGATGTGTTCATTGGCCCATCACTGGAACTGAGTTGGGTGGTGATGTGGTTCCTCTTTGTCACCAGTTATTGATCCACCACCACTTCTTAGAGAAGCCACCTACTCCCCTTCTTTGTCTTCTCTGAAGGTTTTTTGTTTTTGCCCTCACTGTATGAACTGATCTTGGGGATGACAGGAGCTAGCTGAAATGTGGATTTTTACCCTTACTCACTTTGCCTTTTCTGCACTCCCAAGCAATGACTTTTTTGGGGAAAGCTGAACTACTTGGAAGCTGTTTTTTAAATAGAAGCCACAAAGAATGTGACTAGTAAGGAAGATTTTTTATTCCTTGCATCTTGCCTTCCTTCTCCCCTCCAAAGAAGAAAGAAAAACAAAACCTTTTTAACAAATAAACAGTCATGCAAAACAAATTCTCATTTTATGTCTAAAAATGTGTGTCTCATTCTATATTAAGCCTTTGATTGTCAGAAGGTAGGTAGGTAGCATTCTTAATCTTAATTGTAGGTTCTTTGGAATTGTGTTAACCCCTTCATTTTTTTTCTTTTTTTTTTTAATATAAATTTTTATTTTCAACATTTACTTCCACAAGATTTTGAGTTCCAAATTTTCACCCCATCTTGCCCCTCCTCCCACCCCAAGATGGCATGCATTCTGAATATCCCTTCCCCTAGTCTGCCCTCTCTTCTGTCTCTCCCCCCTTTCACTTATCCCCTTCGCCTTCTATTTTCTTACAGGGCAGGATAGACTTTTGTAGCCCGTTTCCTGTATTTCTTATTTCCAGTTGCATGTGAAAATGTTTTTTTTAAACATGTTTTTAAAACTTTAGGTTCCAAATTTTCTCCCTTCCTCCCTCCCCACTCACCCTCATTGAAAAGGCAAGCGACTCAATATAGGTTATATATGTGCAGTTATGCAAAGCACTTCCATAGTAGACATGTTGTGAAAAACTATTTCCCTTAATCCTATCTTGCCCTCCCATTTATTCTATTCTTTCTTTTAACCCTGTTCCCTCAAAGTATTTCTTCTGATTACCCCTTTCCCAATCTGCCCTTCTCTCTATCATCCCCCTGTTCTCTTGTCCCCTTCTCCCCCTATTTCCCTGTAGGGTAAGACAGATTTCCATACACAATATTCCCTCCTTAAGCCAAATCTTATGAGAATAAGATTCACTCATTCCCTGTCACCTTCCCCTTTCCCTCCTCCACTGTAAGAGCTTTTCTTTTCGTTTTTTTTGTGAGATAATTTACCCCATTCTACCTCTCCCTTTCTTCTTCTCCTAGTATAATCCTTCTCATCCCTTAATTTTATTCTCCAGATATGACCCCTTCATCTTCAACTCACCCTGTGCCCTCTATCTATCTATACATACATACATATAATTTTTTCCTCCAACTACCCTAATACTGACAAAGGTCTCATGAGTTATAAATATCATCTTTCCATGCAGGAATGTAAACAGTTCAACTTAATAAGTCTCTTATGATTTCTCTTTCCTGTTTACCTCTTCATGTTCCACTTGAGTCTTTATTTGAAAGTCAAATTTTCTATTCAGCTCTGGTCTTTTCATCAAGAATGCTTGAAAGTCCTCTATTTCACTGAATGACCATTTTTTCCCTGAAGGATTATACTCAGTTTTGCTGGGTAGGTGATTCTTGGTTGTAATCCTATCTCCTTTGCCCTCTGGAATATTATATTCCATGCCGCGTCCTTTAATGTAGAAGCTGCTAAATCTTGTGTTATCCTGATTGTGTTTCCACAGTACTTGAATTGTTTCTTTCTGGCAGCTTGTAATATTTTCTCCTTGACCTGGGAACTCTGGAATTTGGCTACAATATTCCTAGGAGTTTTCCTTTGGGGATCTCTTTCAGGAGGAGATCAGTGGATTCTTTCAATTTCTATTTTGCCCTCTGGTTCTAAAATATCAGGGCAGTTTTCCTTGATAATTTCTTGAAAGATGATGTCTAGGCTCTTTTTTTGATCATGGCTTTCAGATAGTCCAATAATTTTTAAATTCTCTCTCCTGGATCTATTTTCCAGGTCAGTTGTTTTTCCAATGAGATATTTCACATTGTTTTCTAATTTTTCATTCTTTTGGATTTGTTTTACAGTGTCTTGATTTCTCATAAAGTCACTAGCTTCCAATTGCTCTATTCTAATTTTTAAGGAAGTATTTTCTTCAGTAAGCTTTTGGACTTCCTTTTCCATTTGGCCAATTTTTCTTTTTAGGGCATTCTTCTCCTCATTGGCTTTTTGGACCTCTTTTGCCATTTGGGTTAGGCTATTTTTTAAGGTGTTATTTTCTTCAGTATTTTTTGGGTCTCCTTTAGCAAGCTGTTGACTTGTTTTTCATGATTTTCTTGCATCACTCTCATTTCTTTTCCCAGTTTTTCCTCTACTTCCTTACTTGCTTCTCAAAATCCCTTTTGAGCTCTTCCAAGGCCTGGGACTGATTCATATTTTTCTTGGAGGCTTTGGATGTAGGAGCTTTGACTTTGTTGTCTTCTTCTGGTTGTATATTTTGATCTTCTTTGTCACCAAAGTAAGATAATATAGTCTGACTCTTTTTGCACTGCTTGCTCATGATCCCAGCCAATTACTTGAGTTTCAAACTCTTTGTTAAGGTAAGAGTCTGCTTCCAATGTGGAGACTGTACTGTCCCAAGCTTCGGGGGTTTGTACAGCTGTTTTCAGAGATACTTGTAGGGACCTGTAAATTTTCAGTTCTTCCAAGGTGGTATAAGGGGCGAGGTGTTTATGCCTTTCCTATCCTGTGCTGTGGTCTATTAGTGACCACAAGCACTCCTTTCTGTCCTGGAACTGTGAGGAGGGTTTTCTCTCCCCAGCCACTACAAGCTCCACCATGCCAGCGCTCCTCCTCACCCCAGGACCGCTGCCCAGAACTGTCACCCAGATTTGAGAAGTTAAGTGATTTATTTAGGGTCATAGCAAGTGGCATAGCTGAGCTTTTAATCCAGATCTGATTAATTCATTGTTACTTTCCCTGCAATGTACTAGACAAGACTTCTTGACCTGGGGGACTTATTTTTTAAAAGATTTTGGTAAATTATTTTCAATAGAATTGATTTCCTTTGTAATCTTAGGTATTTTAGGCTTCCAAAAACTTTTTTTTTTTTGCGGGGGTGAGGACCAAGATGGCAGAGAAAATGCAGGGACTCACCTGAGTTCTCTCAAATTCTCCTCCAAACAACTTTAACACCTTAAAATGAATTCTGGAGTGTCAGAACTCACAAAAGAATGAGTTGAAACAATTTTCCAGCTCAAGACAACTTAGAAGGTCAGCAGAGTGAGAGTAGACACAGGCAGCAAGACATCAGCAAGCCTTGGGGGTGACTGAATCAATAGTGGCAGCAGTAGCTTCTGGAGTTTTCAGTCTACAGGTGGTAAGGGGTCAGACAACTGGTCAGAAGGAGATTACAGGGGTCCCTTTGCTGCTATGATATGCAAGTCACAGCCTCAGGGTAAGGAGGACCACTAGCACTCCAGAGCTTGTAGCCATAGGGGAATGGAGATCCTGGCCACAGTTCCACAGGAACAAGCAAGGAGAGCAGTGATCCCCACCTGTCCTTATATAATACTACCTTGGGAGAACTGAAAACTCATAGATACTTCACCCTCCAACTAGCAGCTAGAAAGGCCTAAAGCTTAGGATAGTGTCCCCTCCACCCTGGGAACAGAGTGCCATTTTAACATAGCGTTAAAAGTCAAGAAATAGGCTGGGAAAATTAGCCAAAAAAAAAAAAAGAACCTGACCATAGGAAGTTACTGTGGTGTGAGGGAAGATTAAAACAAATTTGGAAGGGGAGAGCACAGTCAAAAATGCTACATCCAAAGCTTGAAAGAAAATGTAAATTGGTCTCAGGCCCAAAAAGAATTCATAGAAAAGCTCAAAAAGGATTTTTGAAAATCAAATAAGAAATGGAGGAAAAATTAGAAATGAGTGATGCAAGAAAATCATGAGAAAAGTGAAAAGCTTGGTAAAGGAGGCACCCTCCTCCACCCAAAAAGGAAAATAACACCTTAAAAAACAGAGTAGGCCAAATGGTAATAGTTACAAAAATCCATCAAAGAACTCATGAAATAGCAGAATTGACCAAATGAAAAAGGAAATGCAAAAACTCACTGAAGAAAATAACTCCTTAAAAATTAGAATTGGACAAATGAAAACTATTATCTCTGAGACATCAAGAAACAGTAAGATAAA